TGCATGTTTAGAAGAAAAGAACAGCGCTGACACAGCATTAATAAGCCCTGGATGATTAGAGAATAAAAACTGCACACAAAACATGCCTGGTTAGTAAATAAAACACACTTGCCTACCAGAAGAAGTCATTCGCTCTCATCTTCCTCTTGCGCACTAAAGCCATTAAAGTCCTCTTCTTCAGTGTCGGAGCTGAACAGCCTCAGAAGAGCTTCGTCACATACCTTTTCTGTGGCGATGTCAGTGTCGCTGTCCGTGTTGCTGTCTTCATCCCCGGGTGAAGCTGGCTTGAATGAGTTCTTCCCGCTGCCGTCTCCAGCGCCGAACCATGGATTCATTCATGCCAAGCTTACGTGCGGCTGCACTGTTTCCCTCCTTTACTGCCAGATCGATGGCCTTCAACTTAATTGCAGCATCATATGAACTCATACGTGTAGTTACCATGATGAGGGGGTATGGATTTGAAACAAATTCTTCGTCGTGCCGGCTGCTTGCATGTGCTAAATTAAAATGAGCACTTTCTTCCATTTCCACTTTTGACTTCCACCTGTTTCGCTTTCTGCTAAAGCGCCCCCTAGTGGCAGGTGAAGGAAGATCTGCAGTAAAGACGCACCTCATTATAAGCCGCATGGTTCAAAGCGTGGGAAAACAAGTAGCGGCTTATAGTCCGGAAAATACGGTATATAAAAATCTACATTAAGGGCCAACTTTGAGCTTCTGTATTAGAAAATCTCATACGTTGGACATCTGTAGTGATGAAGCCCCTGGCTTTTTGCTTCTGCCATCAGAATGTTCCCAACACACTCCTTGCTCTTCAGCAGCGAGCCACCGTCGCCTAAACCAGCTCGGGGTGTTTAGGACATTTGCGTGTGTCATTAGCGTCCACTTTATGGCAAGCCTTTGTGCCATTTAATATCTACACTGGTTTTTGTTTACATGTTCTGTTATCTGGTGCTGAAAACATGTAGGATCAATGAGAAACAGAGTAAATATATTTACCAGAGACCCTGTGTCTCACTGAATAAATAACTAGTGACTATATCCACTCTGTGACTTGGATGTGATGGAGATGTTGGAGTGCCTGGGTCCTGTCCCTCCTCGTGCTGCTGTGTTGGTAGTTGTGTAGCTCCTGTGGGGAGATGTGGCTGCCTCTGCTGTCGCTGCAGCTGATAACTGTGGCGTGTGACTGTCGAGTCGCTGTGACTGTTTGTGGACTGACGCACCATCTGTTTGTCTGCCTGTGCTTGCTGTGTCCTGCAGGATCATGCTGATTTGTGCCAAGCGGTCACTTTATGCTGCTTTCTCAGTGCTGCCCTATGGAGACAGTACTCACCTCAGGTACAGCGACAGCACCACCCCAGCAGTTAGCTCTCGCCCCTCACTTTCATGTGTTCGTCCTCCTCCGAGTCACCGACCGTCGGAGATCCGCTGTGCGTCTGCTGGTGGAAGTGACTGTGATGTGTGTTTTCAGTGACCTGAAGCTGGACTCTCAGAGACAAAGACTGTCTTCTGTGGTGGCCGCCGATCTGCTTCCTTCTCTGGAAGGTGTGGAGCTGGGGGCCTTTGGGAAGGTGAGTCTGTTGGTAAAAGACATCCTGTTGTATGGCAAATGAAATATTCACCGTCTGGTCCCTCCCCTGTAGACCGTGTCCTACGCACAGTTCCTCTACCCGACCAACGCCTTGGTGAGACAGAAGAGCAGCAGTGTGTCGGACAGCTGCACAACGCAGACCCCTCAGACTCGTTACCGTGGCAACGGCCAAAGAAGCCTCGTCCCATCTCGCGTGAACATCAGCACTGCACAGGACCCATGTATGACTCTGAGCCCGCACACACACACCTGCTGCTGCTTCAGCGGGTGTGTGTGTGTTCACCTGACTTTATGTTTCAGATGTGGAGGAAACCGATTATGACCCAAACCTGCTCAGTGACCCTCAGTGGCCCTGCGGGAGGCACAAGAGGGTTCTTATCTTCGCTTCTTATGTGGTGAGTGTCTATCGCTGCAGCAGTTAACACGTGGCTCATATTTATGTTCACAAGAAGACTTTATCCTGAGAAACAGACGCTTGATTCAGCCGTGGTCAGACGGTTGTCTTCATCCACGGTTTTTGTTGCTAGAAATGTTGAACCTTCTAGAGACCCAGCTATAAGTCCTCCTGATATCTGGTGCTTTTGGTGTTGATCGCATTCCCACAGTTGGGCTTCTTCGCTGACTCTGGCTGCTCCAAAATATGAATAAACCAGATTATCCTGCAGTTTAAACATAACCTTAAATCCTCATTCAGGTTTAGCATTTTTGTTTCAACCCGATTGGGTTGCAGAAACCTGATTTGCATGGATTTCCTAACAAAAAGTCCCAGTTTTGTGTTACATAACTGCTTTTGCCCCCCCAAACAAACTTATGTTTGATCCAAACCTGCTGACTAGACAGAGGAAAGCTGAAGATATTGGTGATCAGAGCTGCTGTGGACATAAAGTTTAAGAAAGATTTCCATTCACTGTTTTGAGCCGGAATAACTCTTCATGCACACAACGATCATTTTTCATTCATTAATCCCATTCAGCAGAGAAGCAGAGCGTCAGGAATAAAAGGCCTGAAGGAAAAGCTGAGAATCTGACACACACACACACACACACACACACACACACACACACACACACACACACACACACACACTACTATAAATGTGGACAATACCATTTAACATTTCATATTCCATTTTTTCTTGTAGACTTTTTTTATGACGACGACCCCGCCGTCTTGCCCTGTCTGTGTATTAGTTGTTGTTTATTTGTTGTGTACTGTAGTTAGGGCTCCTCGATTATGGCAAAAATAATAATCACGATTATGGTGACTGAAATTGAGATCACGATTATTTAGGACGATTTTTCAATTTATGTTGATTTTATTTGTTTTTATTCAGTCATAAAACTGCTCGGGGCACAATCAGGACAAAAATAAGAAACAAGATGATCACTAAAATAACTCCTGATTCCCAGGATAAAAGGACCAATATACTTATAGCTCATAGTCTATGACCCAAGGGCTGTAAACCTTGGTTTAACTCATGTAAGTCTAACCAGCACAGACCCAAATACCAATATCTTGCAAATACTGACAGCAAGAATTATACAGTGGCATTTATAACAAATAAATGTAAATAATTTGATGTTCACAAAAAGTTGCATAACATTTATTTAGTCGTGTCAAGGTGCTGTAGGAGCGTGCACTAGCACCGTGTCCTCAGAGAGATTAGTTATTATTTATCAGCGTGAGGAACTTATTTCTACCTTATTTATAAACTCTTTATTTACAGGTCCATCAGTTAATGTAATAATTGTCCCAACCATAGCTGCACCCCCCACCCCCACCCCGGTCTCACAGCAATTGGGGCAAGCTGCACGTGTGTTTAGCACACCGCACGCGCACATTTAGCTGTTTTTAGCGGCTCAGGAGTCTGCAGGTGCGGTGTGTGTGTCACTCACTCTGGTTAATCCAACAAGGAGCCGGCTCTGAGAGCTGTTTCTTTAGCGACCGACACATCACTACATCATTCCCTTTCCTAATGTTGTGAAGAACGGTCCGGAGCGCAGGCGGAGTGTTTAGCTAACCTGCAGGAAATGTCGACGAGTTATCCAGAAAGTAGCTAAGAGTTACCAGAGATGTTTCTGAGGTGTTCGCTAGGTACTTTTAAGTTAAAAAGTCAAGAAGGGGGTCTGAAAAGCTGTTAGAAATAGCGTCAAAGTCACAAGTTGGCAACGCTGTGGAGGAGCGCTTCAGGGCAGCGCAAGCAGGAGGAGCAAATAATCGGCTTGTTTAGTTTTTTATAATCGTTCAAAACTCAGATCGTAATCGTGATTAAAATTCGATTAATTGAGCAGCCCTAACTGTAGTCCCTCCACCCCGTTCCCTGTGTGTGCTGTACGTCTCTTTTCTCCCTGCCCGTCCACTCCGGTTTGTGAGCGAATGCGGTCCAACGTGCCACAAGCATAAAAAAGGCTGCTGTGCAACAGGAGGACTGTCCGGCATCTCTCTTACTGTTGAGTAAAACTGCTCTGGCGTGTTGCGGCATCCAGGTCAACCATTCTGTCAACTGACAGGACAAGACGAGTGTGTAACGTTTACACCTTCAAATGTGCGCGGCGGTTCGTGAGACGTAAAGAAGGATCTCAAAAATAAAAGTAATTGAGTCATCCTGTCAAACCTGCTCCCCGGGGACTGCGTCATGTTCTTTGCAGCCTGGTTCCACTTCATTTAAATATTTAGAGACAGATTTGTTGCATTTTTGTAGAAATCAAGCTCAAAGTCCTCCAGACATCTGATATGTGTCTCTGTCGCTCACCGTGTGATCAATAAACGCAGACACGTCCTCGGTCTCATAGCACTTCTAACCTGTTAGCCGTCTTGGTGCTTCAACACGTTGCTGGTTTCTCCCCACTAGCAGGCGAGGTTTAAAGGGAGCAGGAGCTCCTCAGACATGGTCTCTGATTTAGGACAGACTGCTTTTGTCTCAGAAATCAGGACTTTGTTACATCTGACTTGTAAATTCTGCTCATTCGGCCGTTCGGCTGATGCAGTCCGCCAACTCCGAACAACCTCCAGCCATGTTGGAGAGTAGAATGACCCCATTATGTTATGGTCGCATGATTTTTCTGTTCCTCACTGCGTCACAAGGTGTGACCTCTAGCACCGTGTGGGTGTGTGTGTGTGTGTGTGTGTTAAACATCCCTGCTGATCCTAGCATTGACCCGCCGGCTTGTTTTTCCATCTTTGCAGACGACTGTTATCGAGTACGTGAAACCATCTGACCTGAAGAAGGACATGAATGAGACATTCAGGGAGAAGTTTCCTCACATCAAGCTGACACTGAGCAAAATAAGGAGGTCCACACATCTTCCCTTGTTTTTTTTTTTAGATTTGAGTGTTTTAAGGTTGTGGTTTCAGTCCAAAAAGGACACCTTGCTTTTGTTTTTGTGTAACACTGATTACTTTCTCTGCTAGCCTGAAGCGAGAGATGAGGGCTGTGAGTGAGGAGTGCAGTCTGCAGCCCGTCACCATAGCGATGGCTTTTGTTTACTTTGAGAAGCTGGTGCTGCAAGGTCGTCTCAACAAGCAGAACAGGAAACTGGTGGCGGCTGCGTGCGTCCTGCTGGCGGCAAAGATCAGCAGCGACCTGCGCAAACCAGAAGTCAAACAGCTGATTGATGTGAGTAAGCGCTCAACAAGCGTTTTAACGCATGAATGTGCAGCTCGGTGATGTTTACTAAACAACGTGTCAGCGTCTCTGCTTGTTGGAAGGAAACACGCTTTTTAAGTTGGCTCCTTAAACAAAAGAGGTCAGAGCCGCCTTAAAAAGAAAATCCCGATGGTGTTCAGCGACTCGGAACACAACTTAACGAAGCTGCGTAACAAACACGTGCATTCTAGAAAACACACCTTTTAAGATTTATACTAAAAGGGAGAAACTTCCAACTTCATGTGAAGGTTGTAGAGTTTTACTCCTCAGACGCGTCATTTAGCTCATAAACACATCCTTTAGCTCTACTGATCCCCAGGATGAGTCCAAAGGTTCTGAACTTGATTTGTGTTTTATTTAGTCTCCTCTGCTCCTCCCCCACTAACAGGTCAGCATTTACTAACGTTACCATAGAAACAGACTCGTACAGGTGCACGGGTACAACATTTCATGTCGGGATTGTTGAGTTATGGTGAGAGCTTTATTTGTTTTATTTTAACTAGAGCACTAAACTGAAACCTCGGGTGTGTTTACTACACCCGCCAACCCGTCAGAGCTTCGCTCACCGCTCTAGAAGTGTGTGATGCTGCTCTACAAAATGTAAGCAAGATGCAGCATGAAGATTTCATTCTTAGCACCAGCAGTTACCATGGTAACAGCAACTGCTGTACAGCACAAGTATCACTTCAGAGTAGACAGAGGGTGTTATTGCTACAGGTTTTTGTCACCAGAGTGATGTCGTCTAAGGTCCTGATTTTACTACGTATTTATGAATAAGTTGGTGCTTTTTATTCATCATAATCGGTGCTTCTGAAAACATCACCTGGTTGACTCTGACCGCTTCTTTTGAAACTTCCCGTTTCCTCCCTGCAGAAGCTGGAGGAGCGTTTCCGTATAAACAGACGGGAGCTGATTCCTCTGGAGTTCTCCGTACTGGTTGCCCTGGAGATGGGACTGTACCTCCCCGAGAGCAAGGTCATGCCGCATTACCGCAGACTGGCGCAGCAGGGCTAGAGCTGCAGCTCCTCGGACGACGCGGATCAACCAGCGTATAAGCTGTGCCGTTTCTATTTATTTTCACTGTAATATGAAGCGTGTGTGTGTGTGTGTGATCTAGTGATGAGCTCTATGTTAGAGATGTTCAGTGAGCACATTGATTGTGCATTTATTTTGGTTTCTGGTGACTTAAAAACACAAAGTATTTCTACCTTTGGTTTAAAGTGAATGCACACGGTGATCTGTGCATTTCCAGAAGAAAAAAAAAACTGCACCTTTTATTTTTACTCTACATTCTTAAATTATTTATTTGAACTAATTTAAAAATAAACATGTAGATTTTGTAGAAGCCTTGTCAACACACTGTGACGCTGAAGCATTTTTACTCAACTGACTCTGTGGATACAAATGAACTTTAATGGAGGAAGTTGCCTTTAATGTTCAGTCTGTCAATAATCCAGATATTCTTGCTGAATTTCAATAGTTCGGACTCCTGTGGCAGCTCTGATTGTGTTGGTTGTACCACCGTGGTATTTTTTAACGTCTCGTGTCATTACCCAGGGATGGTTTGTGAAATGCACTGGTATGAATTCCTCTCTAGTCTTGGTCACATTTCAGTTCTCAGGAATTGTACTTTCTTTGCGTTGAGTAGCACATAAGAACCAGCCCAAAGACATTCACACAGTAGCTTTCAGTGTTTTGATTGTAGGGACACAAAAGCGTCTTCGTGTTCATGAATACACGTTTGTGTGTGGTCAGCAGCTCTTTGGGGTTTAGATGAACTGTTGTGGAAAAAGTGCCTGAAACCACAGTGACGATGAAAGGATTAGTAATTCAGTCCAACGTGGTGTTTAGCGTCGGTATTTCTTCATCTCGCTGTGACTTTTCATCCAACTTAGATGATCAAACTTCTGTCGTGGGAAATATTTATATTACAGATCTGTGTAAGTCAACATGAATGTATGTCTCCTAAAATTAAAGTCTCTGAAATTGTCAGACCCCCGTTCTTCAGTCACTATCCAGACTCCGATCACACACACCCCACATGACCAAGCCAACAGACCCAGCATTCAGCTGTGATGGATCCACAGGCCCGCCATGTTGGGAAGGTGTGGCCTGCCACATGTTTGCCACCCTCAGAACTAAAATCTGTTATTAACTACATAACATCTAAAAGTGGGTTTGTTTTTAAGACTTTATTATGTCCTCGGTGAGGTGTGAGAATGACATGCAGAATCAGTACATCCTAACAAGATCAGTCGAGTCACTGGTTCGACTACTAATGTCTGTCTTCAGGAATATGTGAAAGAAGCAAAACAGCAGCAGGTTAATACAAATAAATATGTGTTTGTCTTCAGAGAACATCTAATCTAAACTCATGTCTTCATCGTCGTCTTTCTTGTCTTTGGAGCCACCGTCCATGTCCAGCTTTGTGTCCGTCTCCATGGCTTTGGCAAAAGCCTCCACATCTGCGGGACAACCATAGACAGACCTTGTTATATATAAAGCAGCTTCTCCATTAGCTGTTAAATCACTCAATCTGAAGGTTTAGAAAGAAGCGGCTTACAGATTTATCAGCTGATCAGAAAAAACAGACTAAACATCACACACAACACTGGATGAAACAAACTGTTGGGCTGCAGAGGAACTGCACACTACAAGCCTTTTTACGGCCTTTAGAGCCTTTTAGGGATTTATTTTTATTACCGAACAGTGAATGTTTGGATTATTTCACATTATTCCTACCAGCAGGTGACAGTCATGTATAAATAAAACCAGTAACATATTCATCCATCTGAACCCGCTTGTCCATGCAGGGTCTGGGAGACTGGTGCCCATCTCCAGCAGTCAGTATGAAATAAAACAGTGAAACTCCATTACACACTGAAGGTTTTGCCACTACACTGAGAAACCGATTACCCCCCCTTCTGGTTGGCTCACGGGCCCCCAGAACAAAAGAAAATGGATGCAAGTCAATAAGCTATTTTCTAATCCACGTTGCCTCACACCCTGAATCACACACAATCAATTTAAATGAAAATAATTGTGTGTTTCAACTATAAGATTTATTGGCTTGTAAAAATAGGAGATTAAAAAAAGTACATATCAGACGTGGCATATATGACATCACAGCGTCATCTCTAGTGTAGCTGCTACTAACCGCATGGCCAGATTTAGAGTGATTCTCTCCACCTTCTTTCATCTTGGAAGGATGAGAAGCTCGCTAAACTCAGCCATTTTTTCTTCTCTTTTCCGTGTCTGGTTTGATGACGTTAATTTGGTGAGACGAGCGTTTGTAGTCAGCTACGTCTTTTCACACAAAACCTGAAATAACTTACTTCCTGTTGAGCGCTTTCTTGGCATGCAATTTGTCTTTAAATGGCACAGACATCGTTTGAGAAATCCATGGCACATATCAAACGGGATCAGAAAACGTTTCTGCCTTTAGACTCCCGTTCACTTAGTTTGGCAGTGAGGGACCCGTGGTCTAGAAGTAGGTGGACATGACTTAGGCTTCCCATTGATCACTGCTGAAATCTGATTGGCCCCCTGAAGTGCCCCTGTCCTGTCACTCATCTGTTCTTTGCACTGTGATCAGATTATAGGTGGACGCAATTCCAAGTCCAAACACTGGTGGCGCTAATGACCCAAATAAGAACTTCCAGCATGAAATCTTGTGTTGGACTAATAGGAGGATCTTAGTTGACATCACAATAAGACCTGCTATCGATAGGCAACATACACTTTCAAGAGAGTTTGGAGGTGAAATCCCCGATATATAAACACTTAAATGTCTAATGACAAAAAATTATGGTCCGATTTGCCTGTGTTTTTTTCTGCTGGGGAGACACTTATTCCTATTTATCTGAAAGCCCTGGACCCTTCACTCATGAAACTGAAAGTCTTTCAAAAGTCTGGAGGTCTGCGATTATTTTATCTCAAGGAAAGTTGGACCGATCTCTTCTGCACAACAGAAAGCCGTAGTCGTGCTAAAAGCGGGAGTCAGGCCCGACGAGCAGAGTGACAGCGTTATTTCATCACCTGTGGGTGACGACCAAAGCGAACAGATAAATCCTCACTGCAACTGCAAAGCCGGGTAGGTCTTCACTAATCAGTGTTTCTTTATTAAAAGGGACTTTTCGGAGTTTAGAATTTTTATGCTCGCGATTGCCCCCTCAGGCCAAAAGTGTAATGGCAGCTTCAATAGTAGGCTCGTGCACGAGGAGCACATGCTGTACGTGCACACTCCTTAACGAAAATAACAGCTGAGACAGTCCCGTGTGTGTGTGTGTGTGTGTGTGTCGGAGGACAGAGGACAGGAGAACGCACAGCTAATTAATTAAATAATTTGGTTCTGTACCTTTCTCTTCAGCACAGCCGACAAAGGTTTAAGATGGGTCAGTCCTCCTGCATGCTCAGATCATTCCCTTCCCTTGCTTGAAAAATTGTTCCAAAATGAAAGTTGAACCCACATCTTTTTTATCGGTGAATTCAATGCCGTTCGGCGAGTCTCAAATAAAAACTTGGGCATCTTCTTACTGTTAAAAAATATACCACTAATGTAAGAAAGACACTCCAAAAAATTATGTTCACACCCAGAATCGAACCCAGGTCATCTGCATGAGTCAGACATCTTACAAGGTGAGCTACACGCCAGTAACATCCGATGTTTCTGTAACTTTTATATCCTTGATGACAGCTGAAACAACGTCAATCCAAAGAACGGTTCGGAGTGAAAATGGCTATTTTGTTGCTAATTTGCAGGAAATATCTAGAAGAAAGTTCTACAGAAAGTAGCTAAGGGTCCTCAGAAATGTAGCTAGGTTTGTCACTAGGCGTTAGGAACAGCGACAAAGTGGCACTACCTCTCTCTCTGCTGCTAAAGCTACGGATAGCAAACGCTACGGGCTATGCTTGAGCGTGAACGCGCATGAAGCAGCCTGCTCGACCCGAGCATCTCTCTTTCTGTGATTTTACAGAAAAACAGACAATCACAGTAAAAATGCCAGGGCTCATCCTACAGGACCAGGGCATTGCAGGAGAATGTATGAAGAAGAAATTTATTATTTCTATACATGTTTTGACTGTCAAACTTCCTTATACTCCCTTTAATGATCGCTGTTGAGAAGCTGAATCAGAAATTGAAAACAACAAGACTCAGTGGATTTTAAACTACACGAAGATGAATGTTTCTAAAAACATCTCTAATCAACAGATACTTTGGACTTCGACGGCCCCAGACTCAGAAAAATCCTAGATCCACCACTGGTGTGAGTTAGCTGACTGTTCCGGTGAATTGTCTTAAATAAATAACAATTGTAGAACTTGTTGCAGCTGCAGTACAAATGGAACATCCTTATTTGTAATAAAACCGACGTTTAAATTTTCTGTTAAAACATTATAATACAGTGTTGGTGTGATTAGAGCAGAGCACTGACCTCCTTTGTTGGCTGCTTCGACAGCTTCTGCAGGCAAGCCGAACTGGTTCATGAGAGGTCCTAACTGACCGGACGCCAGAGCACTGCTGAACATGCTCATAGCCTGCACACAGACAGGAAGTGTCGTCACGGAAACCGGAAGTATCAGTACACAGACAGTGGCCATCTCTCAAAACACAAGGACGCTAGTACATCCTTGTGTACTAAACAAGTATGTTCTTGGCAAAGACACCAGGAAGTCCGTCCTACCGAGTATGGAGACGACATTTGGGTCATAACTGTACTCCGTTGCATCATGGCAACAAGCGCTGCCCGTTGTTACGATTAAACATAAAAATAAAAGTCTTAGTTTGTCCTTAAATAACAAAATAAAAACAAATACGTGTTATTTGTATTATATTTGGTCCACTTTTGATCAAAACTGATAAAATGCCAACATTTCTCAAATAAAAAAACTTTTTTTCCATCAAAACAAAAGCTACGCTGCTTTTATTTTGATAGTGGCTTAGCTAGTTAGCATTTGGTGGGATCATTAATAGTAAAACCCAAATACACACGGCAAATTTTACAACTTACACACAATTATTTACAATATCAGACAGCTTTATACTCCTTTATTTCATTTCTAATATAAAACTTTACAGTTATTAATTTTCTCTTCTGACGTTCGGAGCATACACGGTTCGTGACGCAATGCTTTGTGAGATGCTGCGCTGTTCCAAGTCTGCAGAAGGATGCATCAATGCATCCTGGATATGTTGGGCGGAGCAAGAACACATCTGGGAACTTTGAGCAAACTTGTCATGATTTGTACTTGGGATTGGAACAGTACTTGGGCCGTCGTTGATGACGTTTTAAAGGACAAGAGTACACAAGTTTATGGCCTGTATTTGATATAGCGCCTTCTAGAGTCCTGGAACCCCCCAAGGTGCTTTACAACACAAGCAGTCATTCACCCATTCACACACACATTCACACCCTAGTGGGGATGAGCTACAGTGTAGCCACAGCTGCCCTGGGGCGCACTGACAGAGGCGAGGCTGCTGAGCGGGGCTCGAACCTGCAACCTTCCGATTACCGGGCGAGCACTTAACTCCTGTGCCACCGTCGCCCCACATTACACATTGAGAAATGGCCAGGAAGTATCAGTACACAGGACAGCTGACAGAACACTGCTCACACGCTTTCTCTGCACACGAGCTACGAGTTGCAGAATAAATCCAGGAGAAGCTGTCGCGTTTGTCATTTGATGGAAAGTTGAAACTAGAACATCCATTAGCTGAGAACACACCTGCTGAAACTGAGGCGAGCCGAGTGTGTTGTGAAGCTCATCTGAGCTCTGAGGCAGAGACTCTCCAGATGGCAGGAAGGGCATCAGCCTCTGTTGCACCTCTGGGTTCGCCAGGATGGGAGCCATGACCTCAGGGGTTAGGACGCTGGCAAGGTCCACTGCAGGAAACAAACACGGCTAAGCTGGCGTTTTACCCCTACCCATAAAAGGAACTGAAAATATCTCATGCACATTTATAGGATGCTGACAGCATTAACGTTTGTAATGATTTTGGCTGTTGATCCTGCTGTTCAGCCTCACCTCCTTGACTGCCGGCAGGAACGTTCATGGTAGCCAAGATGCTCTGCAAGTCCCTTAGCTGGATGGGCTGTGTGGGGTTAGCCGCTGCAGCTGCTGCTAGAGAGGATGCGGCGGGGGTTGTGGGGGTGGTGGCTGTGGGAGAGGCAGCAGACGTGGCTAAGGGGGTGATGGGAGTGGTGGGCACCTGGGAGGAGCCGAGTCGGCTGGCAGGGGCGGTGGAGGTCGGTGTGACGGCTGTGGAGGGACTGGAAGAAGAGAAATCTGTTAATAACCACCTAAAAACAACTAATCTAGAATAAAAGTCAGGTTTTCATAGTGTGGTCAGAGAACGAGGGTGAGCAGAACAACAGGAGTCCTTGCAAACAAATCTGAGGATTTGAAAGTGAACTAATTGAAATCACACGGTTTATGAATCCTTTCCTCTCCTCCTGTATTCCAAAGTGTTGATTACATTTGTAAAACTGATCATGTTTTCTTTACTGGGAGGAACAGACATGGGTCACCTTGTGGAGGAGCTGCTGACGGGAGGAACACTGCTACTGCTGCTGCTCCCCAGAAGGTTAGCCAATCCTGGACCAGCCAGCGCCCCCAGACCACCTGATTTTAACAGAAACGTCATCAACTTAACCTGACAACGCCCGATCTTCATCGGTTTTTGTACCAATAGCTTGAACATTTGCACACCGATCCCACCTAGTCCGGTTGGTCCAATGAGCTGCATGAGCTGGTTGTGGCTCATGTTTCCCAGAAGGCTTTGCAGGCCACCCTCACCTTCACACGTGAGAAAAGAAAGCAGGTGACAAACCACATAGAAACAGAGCTGTTAAAGGTACACTGGAAGACGAGGCGGGTCAAATACCTCCCAAAGCAGACAGATCATGTCCTCCGCTGCCACCGCTGCCCAGCGCCCCGGGCATGGGCGGGTTGTTCAGGTACTCGTTCACTTTACGGCAGAACTCATCATCTTTGTCGTTCTTTGGTTCCTGATATCAGAAAACACAAGCTCAGGTGTTTCAGATGGAAGGGACATTTTATCCTTCGATAGATTTTAACATTTGTCCTATGATGTTTATTTAGTAGGATCATACGTGGGTTTTTAGACAGTTTTAGGACTACCTAAAATCAGCTGATCCACATAAACACAAAGCTGAAGCAGGTCTAAGGAAGCAGTCTACCTGCATCCAGAAGAAGAGTCGTTTAGAGCCGGCTTTAAATTTCAGCACATAAACTCGCCCGGTGGTGCACTGGCTGACCCGTTTGAACTCGCAGTCATCAGGGAAAATGATCAGGTCCTACAAACGGAGGCTGCATTATTTTTAAAGATCAACACAGGTCTGCTGGTACCACAACCAGACTACATCACCTACATCATCCACGTTGCCAGTTGTACGATCCTTCCAGCAGAAGTGTATGAGGGAGTCATCAGTCTGCTGGATGTAGACCTGACCTTTACGCTTATCAGGGGTCACTGTGCTGCCTTTCATCGTCATCTTACCAGCCCGAAACTCCACCAGGTACTTACTGGAGGAGCCACGGGAACCGGAAACCAAGCTGGGAAACAAAGCTCCAGATGCCATGATGAAGAGAGAGCTGCAGGGAGGAAGAGGACAAACAGGGAACTTTAGTCAGCTGAGAAAAGTATGACAAGAAACTGACTATGAAACTAATTAGTGAGTGTAACATCCTTGGAGGGTGTCCCAGCACGAATGGCCTGCTTAAGGTCAATGGTTAGACATTCTCCTGCAGGATGCTCTGCTAGAGATTGGAGTTCATGTTTCCATCAGTTACAGGAGGAGATGGTCCAGATCCAGCAGCTTTGTTGTTAATAGTGTCAGAACGATGAATCATTTAGCATTCTTACTTCTCCAAAACATTAATATAGGCATGTCTGACACAGTGGCGGCTCCAGAAATGTTTTTCTGCAGGTGCAATGAAGGATCCAGTCTTTTTATTGAGGGTGCTATGAAGGAAGTGGTCATGCGTACCTATTGTTCTCCAAAACACCTTCAACACTAGCAGATACACATGCGTGCGCAACACCTCAAAAACACCTGAAACAATCATTAAAATACATCATAAACATATGAACAATCGCTGACTTCCATGAAATCATAAACACATACAGCCACACAGAAAACCATCTATAGTGTGGCAAGGTTAGCTAACGTTAGTGTTAGCATTTCCAGCGGCAAAACCCTCGACTGCTGCGGCGGTTGAGGATTGACTCTCTTCATCCAGATCCGTAGGTTTTTGTGGGTCTGAGATCACTTCCAAAGATTCATTCGTTTCTGACTGAACCTGTGGAAATTTGGGCAACAAAAACCGACCCATTTTACCACTAGCTCTACCTTTCACTCTTCGCAGGTGGAAAATGAGGTCAAAGGTTAAGATCAATTTCCTGTTTTGGTTTAAGTTTTTACTATTTATATGATAATTGACTGATTATTTTTGTTTTGTATGTTAAATAATATCACATCCACACGTTAAAGTAAAATTAAATAGTAAAAAAAAAAAATCTAATATTTACTTGGGGGTACTATGGAGATACAATGACTAATCCAGGGGTAGCTATAGCGCCCCCTAGCGCCGCCACTGGTGAGGCAGCCTGGCTGGAGGGTGGCAGCCCAGCCCTGGAGCAGATACAACCATACAACCCAGATGACTCTGCATCCTGCGGTCCGTTTCAATCTCCATTAGCTGACCACCGAGCTACCGCTTGGCGTCTCATATCCACAGACCAAACATGTAGCCGGGGGTGTGTTTATAGCTCAAAATAGAAGGACAACAAGGAGTTTATACTCACATTTCTCCGTGAATTACCGTTCAGCAGCTAATACGATTCAACCCCGCGACGACTGTTGTGGTTGGCTGACGAAAGGAGCCGCCTCGTGGTGATTGATCAAATGGCCTGCCAATCAAGTGGGTTTTAAAGCTGCGGCAAGTTCGGTAGAGAGAGCACAGCAGCTGCGTTTTTTTTTCAAAACTTTATTGAACAAGGTGATAAGTATACAAACAAATTGCATACAAAGTTGAACAAAGAAGATGAAACATATGCCAGGGGGTGCACTACACACTACACACATCCAAATAAATTATAGGTGGTGCAAATAGTTATAGTTTTTAAAGCTTTTTTGTTTGGTGATCCACTAATCAATTTTATGCAGTGTCACCCTACGCGGGTACAGACAATGGATGGATGGACGTTTTCTTCACCGCTCGGGATGCGGAGGAATCATGCTGTCAATAAATAATTACGTTTCTTTATTTACTAGTTTTTTTATGTATTTGTTTTCAATATTATTTTGTGATATATTTTATTTTATTCATTCATTTTACACATTTATCTATTTATCGACATTTATTTTATGCGCGCGCACACACACTTTGGGAACACTCCTTGTGATGATCTCTCAAAGTATATCTAATTAAAATTCTCAGAATACCAGCAGGTGGCAGTAATTATTGAGACTTTTGTCCAGGCGTGTACGAGTGTCCAGGTATATTACGGACATGTCTTGAAGACATACAAATCTGGATTTCTCTCTTTACTTCCCGTTAAGGTGTTTTCCTCTCCACTGTCGCTACATGCTTGCTTAGTATGGGGATTGCTGTAAACTCAATGCAATCTGCTGGATTGCTTTAAAAGACTTAACCAATTGGACAAATGAACTGAACTGTTTAAAAGGTTCTAGGAATGTTTGTAACGTGCCTTGAGATGACTTGTGTTGTGAATTGGCAGTATATAAACATTCATAATAATTTCTATAACTAGATGATTACTAAAATATTCATTGTTTTTCACACAAGGATTAGAAAATAGTGACTCAGATTGACATCATTCTGTCTCTGTGCTCTTAGTAATTTATAAAACATTGAAACTCATCAAATTATGGACATTTTATGTAGATAGCACAAAACTTATTTTAAAGTTATTTTATGAATGAACAGTAGCATGTGGAATAACAATGAGCCCACTACCTGGATTTTTTCTTTGAATTAAAGGTGCATTATGTAGAAATGAAGTAAAAATGACATCCTGTGGTAAAATGGGGTTACTGCAACCACTAAGCAATTCTGGAGCTTTTTGCAGGCCGTTGTCAAACTATAATTGTTGACGCTGTCGTATTAGCTCGCAGAAGACACGCGAACCCCACACTCACTGATGTTTAACAGTAGTTACATCCCTCCTTACTTTGTTTTGAAGGGAGAAAAACTAAAAATCCCTGCAGCCAGCTGGATATGAAATATGTTACAGTATAACCTTCCTTCAAAAATGACTGAAACATTAGACTCTTGGGATTTTCTCACTATATTCTTACATGCTGCACCTTTCTAGCATTAGACTCAAGACAACTTTATTAGTCCCCGAGGGGCAATTCGAGACAGCATTGTGAAGCAGCTGGAACCAAAATCTCTAAATTCTAAAAACACAACCAATTTACACATTTGTAAAACCCATAAAACCTATATACGCATTCATGTCATAACCTCACATGTAAATGACCAACAATGAGTAAACCTTTGGCTCACACACACACATGCACACACAAATACACATGCATACATGTAACTACATGCACACACACATACAAGTAATGCACACACCCCCTATCTGCACTGAGAATTAAGAAGAAACACAGCTCTGGGAACAAAGGAACTTCTCCTCCTCTGTGTTTTACAGCAGTGGTTCCTAATCTGGGGGTCCGGACCCCCACAAGGGGGCGCCAAAGCCTCTCAGTGGGTCGCCAGGACCTCTCCACTTTAAGGGGTTAAAACTTCATTTATTACTTGTTTATAGCCTACATTTTGCTCACATTTTTTTCCTGAGTGAACATTTTACTGATATTAAGACGGGAAATAATTAGTACAGAAAAAGTAACACACTTTTAAGAACATTTTGCTCAGCTCACTGTTTTATTTTCAAGTGTCAAAAGTTCATTAAAGATAGGACTGGTTGATTAATCACAGCCTTTACAGTAAATAATCTAGTATAAACAGTAATATACACATTTAAGTACATTTTGCTCAGCGTATTTTTATGTGTCAAACGTTTATTGAAAGGAATGATTGATTTATCAGTGTTTACAAGAAACAATGTGTTCAGAAAAGTAATACAAACTGTTAAGCACATTATGCTCTGTTTGGTTTTGTTAATGACTTTGTTCTGTACTGGAGCCTACTATTACTGTTACATATTGAATCAAAGCATATTAAAATGTGCTTGAACAATTTTATTATTTAATACTGTTTGTACTGGAAGAGAGAATAGGAGGGGGTCGTCAAAAATTTTACTGGTAAAAAAGGGGTCCCTTGGGAAAAAGGTTGGGAACCACTGTTTTACAGCATGGGCATCGAAGTCGGCGTTTGGAGGGCAGCCACTCGAAAACAGTATGAAGAGGGTGTGATGGGTCTTTAATGATTTTCTGTGCTAAACTTCCTGTATTATGGTCACATTGAGAAGTTAAGTTTCGCAGTGGTAGTCCAATGATCCGAGAGCACACCTTGTCGGTGCTTTGTAGACGGTTTCTATACTTCAGGCTGACAGAATAAAACCAACAGGGGATGGAAAATGTGATAATACTCTCTATAAAAGAATAATAGAAAATCAGTAAAATGTCCTTCCTGACTCCAAATGAATTCAACTTCCTCAGGAGGTAGAGTCTTTGCTGTTGCTAGCACTTTCTGAGGATGTCCTCAGTGTTGGAAGCGAATTTCAGGAGGTGATCAAAGGTGGTCCCTAAATATTTATACTCTTCAACCAGCTCCACTGGCTGTCCATGAATGATAGTGGAGGCAGCGGTAACCAGCGCTCTGTTTGTTTGAGGACACCACCATCTCCTTAGTTTTGGTCACAATCAGCTCCAGGCATGCAGTGTCACACCAATCCACCAACTCCTGCAGGACCTGCCCATGGTAAGGCCTGACAGAAGAGACAGGAGCACAGTGTCATCAGCGTATTTTACCATATAACTGTCAGGCTGGATGGATCTACAGTCATCTGTGTAGAGAATGAAGAGTAGAGGAGACAACACGCAGCCTTGCGGGGTGCCAGTGGAGGTGTAAAGACGGTCTGAGAGAGTGTTGTTAACCAGCACTCTTTGTGATCTGTTAGTTAAGAAATCCAGGATCCATAGGATCATCTGATCATCCAGGTGAAAAAGAGAAGCGAGTTTGCCAGCCAGGATGTGAGGTTGCAGGGTGTTAAACGCTGAAGAGAAGTCAACGAACAGCAGTCTAGCTGAAGAGTTTGGGATCTCCAGATGTCTGTGTACCATGTCTAAGATGAATGTTTTTGCATCAACAACACTTCTCCCTTTCCGATACGCAAACTGAAGTGGATCTAACGGAGGGTGTAAGGCTCCGATAATGTGATGTTTCAGGATCCTCTCCATAGCCTTCATCGGTTAAGAGGTCAAAGCCACGGGTCGAAGATCATTGAGAGCCTTAACCCTGCTGGTCTTGGGGATGGGTATGACCGTAGAGTGTTTCCAGAGCAGGGGAACTGTGCTTGTATCCATGGAGCTCTGCAACAAGGTCTGAAACACACCACCTAGTTGCTGTGCACAGTTTCTGAGAACTCTGCTGCTGATGTGGTCTGGGCCAGGTGCACTTTTACTTGAAATAATGCATCGTCCAAAGAAACAGGTCAACTTTTAGTCCATAGTTTATTTATATGCTTCAGCTTCACATGGTTGTGTATGGGTAACAATAGGATTGAAGAAAGGTGTGTAAACAGTTTCACACAGACGCTCAACAGAGCAGAGATGAGAAGAGTGATGAGGTTGGGCCTGCAGCTCTGAGCAGCTGCAGGCTTCACAAAGTGCTTTAAATCCAGAGTAAAGGGAGGAGCAGGAGCAGATTTCACTAAGTGCATAGGACCTCGAGTGCTCAAATGTGCAGCTTTTATGCAACAAACACACGAAACCATCCAAGAACTAGTTTCACCTTCAGCACACATTCATGAACTATGGGCTCTTAAGTGTCGGACCAAAAAAACAAAAAACATCTCAATAACGGTGGATTTTCTCACTTCATTGTAGCTGATTTGATGGAGCAGCTTGCATAGGTTTATGTTCAGTCTCACTAACTGTGCCTTCTAAGGGGCTTGAACAGAAACACTTCAAATACTGTTGCAGCCATTCGTCAAACGTGTCGTCGTACCCACAATTCCTAAAACCGGCATCACTCAACTTCCATAGGAACCTCCTGAAGATCTTAACGCTTTCTTTTCAGACTTTACCTGAAAAAAAAAAAACCTTTTACGTTCTGTTCGTTTTAGGTGTTTTTATATTAGTGCCAAGAAGTTAATTTGGCTAAATTTAAAATGTGCAAATCAGCTAAAATAGTAACTTCTCAAGCTGGAGTTCTAATCTTTCTGGCCTTATTCATGCAGACTCGTCTCCAAACTTTAATGCTTCAAACACGTGAAAAAAACAAAAAAAAAAACAAAGGTGCAGGCTCATTAACCGTCCTGTTTCAGCCTTCTTACCCAGACCTCTCACTCAGCGAATGATCCGAACCTCAAGCCCTTCCTCACGTCTTGTTTGTTCAGTTTTAAAAACCTTTTTAACCGCTGCAGCTAAAATAGGAGAAGTCAACTCTGCAACTACTTGCTTTAGTTTTTCCACAAATACATTTTGACTCAGTGCAGTAAAGTTTCCATGGCTTTAAGTTGTGTCATTCAACATCCTGCATGCATGCACAAGTTTTACACACATTACATCGGACAGCTACGCAACGTACCGACAACTGCTTACCGTGGGTGTAAACGTGGTTACAAGCAGCTTCTCAATTCACAGAAACACTTGTGACGTTTTAAAGTTATTTAGTGTTGAATAAAATAGACTTCTAACTTCCTGGTTTGGTTAGAGAAACGTAGCAGATGTGACAAAATAACCCGATGTCTGAATGAAAATTTACTCAAGTGTGTTTCTCTTACAGGTAAACTCCTAAATGAACTGT